TCTCTCTCTCTCTCTCTCTCTCTCTCTCTCTCTCTCTCTCTCTCTCAACTGAACCCAGGGCCTCACATATGCTGGAAATGCTCTAGCACTGAGCAGCCTTACCAGCCCTTATGAAATCTGCATTTTGGCATTCATGTCCACCACGTCCAAGCAGCGATTTCCTACCCTTTTCAAATAATTGAGTGACAGTGTTTAATTTTTTGATGTTGAATTATGCTGTTGGGATAAACTATCTAGTTAAACTCTGAAAACAATTTATGTCCCATGAAAATGTGCTAAATCTGTGTACTAGTTAAACAGTAATCAAGTAAACACCTGCATGTGTACCACTTAATGAAATTGAACTTTATTTTGCCACTACGTGCAAGCGAGGCCCTAGATGCTGCTCCATCACATTCTCTTTCCCAGAGAAGCCCTGTCCTGGCTTCTGTGTTAATCCGATCCTCTTTTCTTTTTTCATTTTTCAAAGAATTCAAAAATATTGATTAAAAAAACATTAGAAATAATAGAAAATTGCACTAAAAGACTGGGGAGGGAGAGGGAGAGGGGGAGAGAAGTAGGGAGAGAAAAAACAGGGAGAGAAAATAAAAATAAACAAATATGTGAGACTCACCATTACTGGAGAGACAGAAAGGCTTACAGGGCTGTCAGAGCCACACACCTGCTGAGCCCATGCTTATTAAAGTGGTCAAGGAATTAAACCCAGTGAGTCACCCAAAGACTCTCTTTTCTTCTCGAAATACAGCCCCTTCGTTACAAAGTTATATTTCACCTTACTTCTGGGGGCTAAAGCACATCTGCTGGTCTTTTGAAAGGAGCAGTTAATGCTTAAAAATAGGTGAGAGGGAGAAGAAGGGAGAGAGGGAGGGAGAGGGAAAGAGAGATAGAGGGAGATGGGGAGGGGCAAGAGAGTGGAGGAGGAAAGAGGGAGAGCAGGAGAGGGAGAGGGAGAAGGAAGGAGAGGGGAGAGGGGAAGATGGGAAGAGGAGGAGAGGGGGAGAGAGGAGGAAGGGGAGAGGGAGTGGGAAAGAGGGAGGGAGATAATGGATAATTATATTCATTTCTGTCTTTATTTGTATTTAGTATAGCACAGGGCCTCACTGCACAGATCAGACTCTAGTGATCCTCCTGTTTTCAGTCTTGCAAGTGCTGGGATTATAGGCCTGTGCCACCATGCCCAGTTTCAATGGCCATCTCAATGTGCCCTGGGGTGGGGCCAGCAGGGCAGGCTGGGGATCAAACCCTGGCTCCTAACCTGCTCCCTGTGTCTGCCTAAGCAGGCGGTTTAATCCACTGAGCTATCTGGCTGGCCCTTGTCTCCCTTTCTAAAAGGAGACTAAATCCTGTTTCTGAGGCCAGGACTAAATCTTGGTAAATTCAGCTTCCAGCACAGCCTTCATCATAGTCAATAAAATGTCAACTGAGCTACTTGCTGACTTAGGGGGCAGGGCAGAGGTATAGAGGTGACTGACCTGGAGGTGTGGCTTACTATGCTCTCCCTCTCCCCCTCCTCCTCTGTCTCCTCCTTTTCCCCTCTCTCTCTTTCCCACTTTTCTCCCTCTCTCTCTTTCTCTCCCTCTCCCTCTCCCTCTTAGTCTCCCTCTCTGCTCTCCCCTCTCCCTCCCTTTCTTGCCCTCTCCCTCTCCCTCCTTTGCGCTCTCTCTCTCTCTCCCCCCCTCTCCTTTCACCCCATCCCTCTCCCTCCTTCTCTCTCTCTCTCTCTCTCTCTCTCTCTCTCTCTCTCTCTCTCTCTCTCCTTTCACCCCATCCCTCTCCCTCTTCCTTTTGGATATCCTCTCTGATTAGAAGTCCTACTGTGGTAACCTTACAGTTGCAAGGCTGATGCTCTGGTAGTCTTAGCCTCTCTCTCTCTCTCTCTCTCTCTCTCTCTCTCTCTCTCTCTCTCTCTCTCCTGCTTTTGCCTTTGCTTTGCTGCCAAAAGACCTCCAGATGATCCCTGTACAATTACAGATGTCTGATTGATGGGCCCTACTGCCCCTCAAGTTCAACATAGTTCTATTTTAAGCCAATGTTTCTACTTAATTGCCTTATTTCCCTTTAAGCACAGGCTTTTCTTTACTAATTTGGTCTCAAAATTAGAATGCCTGCATTACATGTCCAGTTAATTGCTACATTCCCTAAATCAGTCATCCAAAAGAATTATAAGCCACATTTGAGGTTTTAAGTTTTGTGATAGCTACATTAGAAGAGAGAAACATGTGAAATAATTTTTCATAGTGTATTTTATTTAATCAGGTTCATCTAAAATGTAATTATTTTAACAAGAATCAATATAAAATATTTTAAGGGGGTGTTGCTCAATTTTTATTCTATGTCTTTGAAGCTCTAAGGTTATTTTACACTTAGAACACATTTCACTCAAATGAGCCACCTTTCTGATGCCAATAACAGATTTCTTGCCTTCTTAGCACAGGGATAGGTGCCCCCTTGTCAATGTCGCAAGTATCTGATAAGTACTTTTCAGTCCTCCACCACGTCTCCAGGTCAGGGGCCTGCTACTACAGTCACCTCTGGGCCTATGCCCTGCCCCGAGTCAACAAGTAGCTCAGGTGATATTTTATGGACTACCATCAAGGCTGTGCTAGAAGTTGACCTACCAAGACTCAGCCCTGGCCTCAGAAACAGGATTTAGTCTCCTTTTAGAAAGGGAGACAGAAATGGATATTATTAATGGGTTAATCCCAAGTGCTGGGATTGCAGAAGTGCACCACCATGTCCAGTTTCAGTCGCTATCTCAGTGTGCCCCAGGGGCGGGGCCTGCAGGGGAGGCGGGGATGGAACCCATGGCCCCTCCCTATCGTCCACAATAAACTGTGACGAGTACCATTACTGGTGTATGGAAGGTGTAGTGGGGACACAGAAGGAGGAAATACTGCTTCTGACTGAAGAGATTGGAGAACGGGCGTTTAGTCCATAGTGGTGATTTTGCTCAGTTGCTAACATACATGTTATCATCTGATGTACAAGAAACTCCAGAAAGAGACATAATAATATTTTTATTTTATAAATGAGGCAACTGACACCATGCAGGTGAAATAGCCTGCCCAAGATCACAGAGTTAATTATCAGAAGATGAAGCATACAGCCCTGCCAGCTGACATTTGGGGTTACAGGTCATTTTGGATAATCCTCATGTCCAGAATTTACTTGCGAAAGGTTTATGCTCGTGTTTCTGGAGATTCTAAGTATAACTGGTCAGGTGCTTCTCCAGCACCAATCTAATTAGAGCCTCAGCTTGCATTTGTATTACGAAGGCGAGTATCCATCCTCTGAAATTGCTTGTGAGTCTCAGATAGGTAAAAAGGGTGTGTAGGCACCTGCTGTCCATGGCGTACCTACACCGCCATCACAGAGACTTCCATGTTTTGCTGTCTTCCAAAAGGTCCTGTGGCTTTGCTCATGTCCCTGCTGTATTCTGCCACCATAGATCATCTCAAGCTTTTCTTATTCCTTACTTTTATCCTGCATGCTGAAGGCCCTCGAGGGCAGGCACCTGATTTTGCTGCCGTTTCACCAAATTTCTCAATTGGCGCCATATTCATAAACGGATGTTTCGTTATCTCTGTAAAAAACTGAATTCTTGTTCTTTTTATCTTTAAGTAAATATCATGGAAACCCGTCATGGTTTTCCTATATTGATTCCTTTCCTCCAAAGTCAAATAAAGACTAACAAATATTAGCTTTGCCATAAATATTGCATAATGAAAATCTTTTGGCTTCCATTATAGTTGGTTCATTATCTTGGTCTTTCCAGTCTTGGTTTTTCTTGCCAGTGGACCTAGGCTGGAGAACATAAAAGCAAATACCCTGGTTTTAACATATGATTAATATGATAATATGATAGGTATGTTTTAGCATATCTATCTTATAACAGGCTGGATTTACTTCAGACTTTTTTTTTTTTTTTTTTTTTTTCGTGGAACCAGGGATTGAACTCAGGATCTTGTGCTTGCCAGGGAAGCACTTATTCTACTGAGGTATCTCCCCAGCCCCAGACATTTTCTTTTAAACAATGTTTTTTGCTTAAAATTAGCATAAAAGTTTACAACCACACAACTAACTAGGAATTGAAAAGCAATTAAAAACCCAACAGATCAGTCAAACTCTTAGTAACACCTGGAATTTTGGAAAAAAGTCTAGAAAAAGAGCATGGCCAAGGATGCTTCTGGAATCTCTGATTGGATGGCTTCCAGGGTAGATGCTGCTCAAGGAGGGTCAGTCTGGCCTTCTCACCCAAAACAAGGATAGCGAGGAAGAGGAAGGAGAGCCTCCTGTGTCACCTTGGAATTTCAAAATCTAGAGTTCTGCTGATTTCAGAGGGCATGGGCCATTTCTAGCAAGTCAGAAATCAGCAGGCTGTAAGGGTTATTAAGAAAAATGGACAATAGGAGGGAGAAAGATGAAGGACAAAAGAAACATGAGAACTGAGTGGAATGAGGAGAAAAGGTTCCTTTTTGGCCAGCTGCTTCCTGAGCCTTTCATTTTTTTTTTCTTTTCTCTTTTTTCTCAGTACAGGGGATTGAACTCAGGACCCTGTGCTTACCAGGCAAGTGCCTATTCTACTGAGCTATTCCTCTGGCCCCTTCCTGAGCCTTTCTGATGGAGGGAACACTTTTCCTCCGGCTTATGGCAGAGCCGGGACTATTAATGTGGGAAATGCCTTTCTGTGGCCAGGTTTCAGTACCAGTCTTTTCAAAGGCCTCACTGCTGAAGGTAGCATTTGCTTCAGTAGGATGCTGTCCATCAATTTCTGTGTTCTCATCTGTACTGACTTGCCTCTAATGTAGAAAACTGTGGCGTGAGAGTGAAATCAGCCCACTGTAGTTCTTGACTCACCAAAGGACAAAATATGGAATTTTTTGCTCCATATGTGTTTCTAGATTCTTACTATGACTCTGCACTGGCCTGGTGCTGGGGGCATAAAGAGGGGAATGCAAAGCCGTAGTGTTAGGGTCTTGCAACTCTGTAGATACTGAGGTTTGGAGATTTGAAATGGGTTGCTCAGGTTTGAGGCACGACAGGCTGTTCAATTGCTAGAACTTCAAATGCAACCCAAGAAATTACAATTATTGAGAAATAGCAGGAATATGAGAATGTAAGATATTTTATATTTGAGGGCTGTTGAAACTTAGCTCATAGATATTGGTAGTTAGTAAAGGACTCTAAATAGGAAGAATCACATGATCTACTTAGTGATACTAAATGCCTTTTATATCTGAGATTGGGAAGATTTTGAGAGACATCAGATTGGAGTAGGGACATTACTAGTAGTGTCGTCATTCTTGGATACCAGTATTCCAAGAACACTTCACATTTCTTCTTTATTTTTTTCTTGCACATAAGTTAGTGAGTGTGTGTTGAATTTGAATAATAAAGTCTGTGGACCGTGCTAAGGGTTCTCCAGTGGTCTGGATAAGATTCTGTTGGTTTCGGTACATCAGAGCTTGGTTAAGTGAGCAACGAGGAGTGGCCACTCTCAGGGAAAGCACTTTCAGTGAAACATCTACTTTAACACCTATAGACCCTCTTAGCTATTCTCTGCACGTAGGCTAGTGGGGATGATAGAGACCCCAGTGAAAGGCTTGCTTATGAATCAAATGCTAAACATTGCACATAAATAATGTCTGAGTGGTGCGCCACTCCTTGGGCCTGCTGCACATTTATCCCACTGCAGTTGCCTCAGAAATCCAGAGAGGAGTAGAAGGGAACTCATAAGCAACTGTTGAAGGAAAGAAAGAAGTTAAGCCTTCCTGTGCAACGCCTGAAATTTCATAGATAATTTTGATACTGCAGGAAGGGCCATACAACCTTGTCAAGATTTCATCAATCTGAGGTCATTATGACCTTGAACGTTAAATGCTAAATATAGAAGTCATTTACTCAATTGAAAGAAACAATGATTTGTTTCCTAGCACATATATTCAACCCTGAGCTGTCACTTGGGCCACCTGTTAGAACCTAGGGAAGCTTACTCTGTGGCAGTAATTGGAGAATATTTTTAAGACAGAGATGATAAAGTAACTATAGTCCCAAGAGATGTCACTATCAGAAATACGCTTCAGCAGAAAAATACGTGAAAAGGAAAAGATGAAAAGGTACAAGGCTGCCATTTATTTTATTTTGAAAAGTTTCTCCCTCCAGTTTCTCATTTCACACATAAGAGGCAAGCATCTGCCCAGCTCTAATCCCGCTATAACCTTGTATTTATAGAGTGCTTATCTCCCTAGAGCTCAGAGGGCTTCCTGTAAATCCATGCTGCTTCAGAAAGTATTGCTTAACCAAAAGGGGAGGCTTTTATTTAATCAGTCACTTCATTAAGTGTTTGCAGGAGCTGGGAACTGGAATTGCCTTAGGTCTGCTGCTGGTGTGGCAGGCTGTACGCATACGGGTCACTACACGGGATTATGAGTTTGCAAGTAGGACCAGGCTTGCCTTCGTGGTTTTGCTTTCCACTGTGATTCAGGAAGATGTTTCTAATCTGTAGAGCATTACCTCGTTTGCTGATTTACCTTTGTGACTCTTGATGTCCCTAAGATATTTCTGCTGATTCTCTCTCTATTTGGGAGCTCTTATATATCCACAGGCAAGACAACTTGCCCAATAATTGTAAATCTTGGGCTCTCCCCACCCCATTTCTATTTTAAAGACCATCTTCAGAATTTCACTATACTCATTTGCTCTGGTTTTTTCTTTCAGAAAAGTAGAACTGGATTAAAAAAAAAAAACCCTATGAAGTGAAAGGGCTTTTTTAATATTAATTTTATTGAGAAAGAAGTAGCAATGAGACAGTTTCAAAACAGGTTAGTAGGACAGTTACAATAATTAATACATTGCATATTGTTGTCTTTGTAGTAGTTATTCATAGTACAAGATGCAGACATGATATCTTGTCTAAGCATTATTTGTTCGAAACTTTCTTCTCATTGAACTAAGAGAAAGTAGCTGTATATCTATCCTATTTTATATATGCATATCTATATATCTATATCTATATCTATATCTATATCTATATCTATATATTTTTTCACTACAAAGTGGTCCTTCATTCATATCCCTACAGTGTTCCCATGGGGCCTTTGAAAGTGCTGCAAAGCCCTGTCGTCCATTCCTCCTCCTCCCTTCCTTTCTTCCTTCCTCCAGTGGCTCCTGTAGATCACCTGTGTCTGGCCTTCTGCTTGCTCGCCTGGGCCTCACAGTAAAGAGAACGTGCCCCCCTCCCAGGGCTTTGTTGGTGCCTAGAGCCGCATTACAGCACCCTTTGCTGCATGGGGTTAACTGAGGAGAAATCCTGGGCCAATGTCTCTCTAAGGACACTGCGATCAGCCTGAATACAGGAGAGAGAGAGACTGAAGGCTGTGTGGAGAAGCCTCAGCCTTCATTTGACAGCCTAAGTTATAACCAGTGAGTTGAGTTCATAAGCCAAGGATCCACTTAAGTTAAGACTTAAAAACATGATATGATTTCTTTCTAAATCCCCAGCATTTAAAGATATAAAGACAAAATATTTGTGAACACTGCTTAAAGGCATCTGTTTCATATAGGGTTTGACTTTTTGTCCTTCACATAAATGGACGTGTAGCGAAGACTTTTTAAAAACTACTTACACAAAACTAGCCTTTTGTATTTTTATTGCAAAGCCCTATGAGAATAAAAAGTCTGATAGGAAGGTGATTAGATAATAAGCCTCTTCTTTGTCTTTTCTAGGACTCAGGAAGGATTTACAAAACATCAGTACACAGTAATGCAGCTATTACCATGATCTATTTGGGGAAAAAGGTGCACCTGTCTTATGATGATCCAGATTTTCGAGATGAAATCAGAGTTTATCAGCAGCACTGCGGTGGGGAAAACCTGTGTGTGTACAAAGGAAAGTTACTTGAAAAAGGTACACAGACAAGGTGGATTTCTTCTAATTGCTTGGGGTCGATGTTATAGATAAACTGTTGTTGCTACCGTTTCAGAATGACTTCAATCACTTTATGAAATTATGCATATCCAGGGGCTTATAAAGCAGCTGCCTAAAAGTAAATCTAGATTTACTGCTCCATGATTGAAACTGAAGCGGCAATTACTCTTGCAGATTGTGGAAGAAGGAATTTGGAGTGATTTAACTGGGTAACAGATTAATTGTGGGATAGAGATATCTGATCATTAAGATAGCGCACAAATAGGCTGTCCCCCAAATCACAAGTTAACTGTTTGGCTTGCCACAGTGAATTATATCATACATTATTCTAAGAGAAAAGTAACAGATTGGCAATTTGTTGTTTAGAGGTATGTTGAAATAAAATCACAAATCCAGTGAACTCCAGGGTGAATCGTATCTAAACAAATTGCTTCAAAATTCGGCTAAATGGCTCTTTAGTACATTTTTTTCTGTCATTTGATCGTAAATCTGTGTTTGTCAGACTAAGAGATCATTTTTATATCCAGTGTAAGTTTCACATATTTACTTTAGCATTTTTTTCAACATTTAGTTCAGTGGAACATTAATGAAAAGATAAAATGCTTATGGGATTTTATTTGAGATTTCCTTGCTTAAGAAACTCTGTTGAGAAAATACTAGTATTTTAACTAATTACAAGTAATATTTGTGATATTTTGACATAGACATAAGCATTAGTGAAGGAGAGCAGGACAGACATGGAAAAAGAATGTCTATTAATGAAAAATATCTCACACCCCCAGAACAAAAATACAATTACATATCTAGGAATTACATGTTTTAAACTTCCTCACATGCAGGAGTAGAAGATAGAATGTTGGTTTTAACTTAGGGCAACATGTGATGCTCAATTATGCTAAGAACTATTTTATTCAATTCTGTGTATTTGTGAAAATATGATTCCCTTCATCTCATCTTGCCAAGGCATCGCAGGTTGTTGCTTCTGTTTCGTCAATGAAAAATTGGGTGGATTCCTGTGTTGGCTTGCGTCCCCAAGGTCACATGTCCAGAGCAGGGCTGGGTCTTTGATGAGGTCCAGGCCCCCGATCAGGTGCATGCAGCCCTGCATAGCTCCTCTCAGTGCAGAGTTCCCTCGTTTTTATCATATGAGGGTGTGAAACTCCTAAAGAGTTTGACAAAGGTAGGGGTATAATACATTTATTTTTAAAAGGATTACAATTCAGCTCTTAATTTAGGGGAATTACAGAAATCAGGTATCATCTGCCATGGAAACTGACACAGTGAGAACCACCCAGGGTCTTAAATCATACTGCATTCAGTGAGATATATCTACAATATACGCTTGACTGCTGGAAAAGTAATAGACGCAGACGAAAAGACGAGGAGGTCGGAGCTGAACGACCTTTTGGAAGAGGACACGCCATCTCTGATAAGAATGCAACAGCACAGCGGAGGCGAGGAGGCCTGCTCATCCGTCCTGGGGCTCTGTGGATGGCTCTGGACAGTTGTGAATACTCCCACACAATGGAGACTTCAATAATTGAATCTTATGCATACAGTAATTTTGTCTCAGCTTGCCCTTGATTGCCAGGAAAGCAATTGCTCAGAATTGGAAAGTTGGGTGGCTCAGCCTCGTCTTGAGGTCCAGCAATCTTAGCAATTTAGCTGGGCTGAAAAGAAGCTGCCCTTTTGACAAACCAAAGCGGTGCATGATTCAGTGAAATGCGAACAGGTTTTTAGAAGATTTTGGTTTTAAGCAAAGGGCCTTGATCACATTCTTGGGAGAGTAAGCTCATTAAAATGTGGCAGTTGTTAAATGATCTGGCTTTTTATTAAAATAACAATAAAATTATTTAAGAATGCAGCAAGCACATCTTTTATTCCCAAAGGAATTCATTGTGTCTCTCGTAGTGAGATTTCTGACTTCTAGCAAAAAGCTGATTGCTACCATAGATTTCTATGAAATGATTTAATATTTTTGCTATTTGTAAGGAGTAGTTTCTTCCCAGGCATTTTAATTTGCCATGTTTATCTTTTTAATGGAAACAGACTTTGGCCCCTTTCTTCATAGACCTCCTTCCTCCTGTGACCATCTTGCCGCAATTCCATGACGTGATCTGATGTGTGTATCTGTGTGTTCCTCCTCACTTCTAGGTGAACAAATCCTTTCTCTGTCTGCCCTCCACACGCATCCTGGCATTATTACTTCTTTGGTCTACATTGCTTTCTCTTCCTTTTTAAATTCAAATTTTACTTTTTTTTCTTTTCTTTTTAAGCATTCTCAGATCACTTCTATCCATTTTATCCCAGTAGCACATAACTTCTTGTCTATCCTCAAAACTGAAGCAGTTCCTCTTATTCTGCCTCACACTTACTGTGTTTTCGTTCCTTGTTATGCTATGTTGAATATTTTAATTTCTTTCTTTTTTTTTTGCGGAACTGGGGATTGAACTCACACCCTTGCACTTGCCAGGGAAGCACTTATTCCACTGAGCCATCTCCCCGGCCCCTGAATATTTTAATTTCTAAAAATGGTTTTGCTAAGGTACAAATTAAATGCTGTAAAAGGAGTCCATTGTGTGTGATTCCCTGATTTGTTGATGGTGGTATGTATGTATTTATTATTTTTGAATGAAAACTGAATTTATTCCCCTCCATCAAATGTTTACATATGGACATCTCTCTTATTTTACACATACGCTATGAGTATCTTTTCTTTTTCTTTATTTTTATTTTTGTCTTTCTTTCTTTCTGTTCGTCTGTATCATCTGTGGTGATTTCATCCACCACAGGGAGTTGGCGCGTGTACATAAACCATCTTAATTCTTCGTAGACCCCAGTCCCTCGTCTCCCTTCCACCTTCCTCCATTTCTTCTCCCCTTTCCTTTTGCAAAACTGTCTTTTTATTCTGCTTTTTGATTTACTTATATAAGAGAAACCATGTGGTGTCTAAATTTGTATGTCTGCTTTATTTGTTTTGTATTTTAGGGAAGGTTCTACAGGGTGTTCACGGTCTCACTACTAGATCGGACTCATAGTGATCTGCCTGTTTACAGCCTCCCAAGAGCTGGGATTACGGGCGCGCGCCACCACGCCCAGCCTCAATTGCTGTCTGAGCACGCCCCAGGGGTGGGGCCGGCACTGCAGGCCTGGGGATGGAACACTTGGGCGCTGTATCTGCTTTCTTCCACTTCATGGGTTTTCAAGGTGCACCTTTTACTCTACAAATTGCTTTTTAAGAATTGCAGAAGCTTTTCCGTCATGATATCTGCCAGTTTTAGAACAACTCACAAGTGTGCAGAAGTTTCTCTGTGTCCCTGGCGGTCGGTCCTCACTGCCATAGCCAAGCGCGGGCGACCCCTGCTCTGCTTGCTGGCCTCACACGGTTGAATTTCTCAGCATAGCTTCTGCCCCCTCCCTGTAAATACAGCCGCACAAATGGCAGGTGTTTGATGTCTTGCTTCTTTCAGCTGGCGCAGCATTTTTGAAAGTTACATATTTGTATAACACTGATTTAATGATCAATAAGTTTTGGATTTGGATTTCAGCCTACTGAAGTCTTACATAAATGTTCCAGACTTACACTCCTCTGAAATCTCAAACACTTGTGGATCCATGCATTTCAGATAAGGAATATCAACCCACCCACATATATCGTGTGTCACTCTCCTAATATTGCCATAGCATAGATTTTTTTAAAATCATTTCTTGAATTGTTAGGCATTTGCATTGCTTCTTGTTTGGGACTATTAAAAATAATGCTTCTGCCGGTCCCATCCCTGGGGCATGCTGAGATGGCAGATGAGACTAGGCGTGGTGGTGTCCTCCTGTAACCCCAGGGCTTGGGAGGCTGAAAAACTGGAAGGATTACTACAAGTCTGATCTGTGTAATGAGACCCTGTACTAAATACAGAATAATAATAAAAACATAATGCTGTTATGAGCATATATTTAAAGTGTTTGGGGGCCGGCAAGATGGCTCAGCAGACCAAGCACCTGCTTTGGCAAGCTCAGGGATCAGGGGTTCGATCTCCATCCCACATGCCGCACTGACCCCGAGGGTGCGCTGAGCCAGCGATGAGTCTGGGCATGGTGGTGCACGCTTGTAATCCCAGTGCTGGGGAGGCTGAAAACAGGAGGATTGCTATGAGTCAAAGCTGCGTAGTGAGACCCTGTACCAAATACATAAATGAAAAATAAATACAGTCATTGCATGTACATATGTTGTCATTTCTCTTGCCTAGGTGCCTAGGTTCTGACTATTTTTTTTTAATGTAGATCACTTTTTCCCATTTTTAAATATCTCTTTTGATATTTTGGTGAAAGAAGATTTTAGATAAAGTATTATACACTATATTATAGATACTATGGACCATAGTTTCTGGAAATTTTCCTTTTGACGGTTTTGCAGATTTTTTCTTTTTCTTCTTCTTTCTTTTTGAGAAGGGATTTGTAGTTGTTTATTTGTTAACTTATGTAAAATAAGTTTATAAAACTCAGTCACCATCACTGTGGTGTAAAGCTATTGAAATTTTGCTTAGATTTTAAAAAAATTGTGTGCTTTAGGCTAGACTCTGATTTCAGCCTGGTGCTGGTTGAGTGATTTAAATGATTTGTTAAATATCTTGAGCTAATAAGGCCATCGTGTGCCAGTCAATCTGTTTTTGTGATGTTACTTTTTTAGGACTGACATAACAAACCTCCCCAGTTGTGGCTTAAAGCAACAACAATTATTCTCTCACAGGTTTGGAGGTCACAAAAGCAAAATGAAGGCTTTGACAGGACCGTACAGTTTGAGAAACTTGAAAGGTTATTCTTTCTTTGACATTTAGAGGTGGGGTGGGAAAAGGAAGAGGAAGTGTAAAAGAATCCAGCTCTGCTGTGTCCGGGTATACCATTCCCCCACATGACTGTGCTTATATTACAAATGTTTAATAATAAAAAAGGAAGTAAAAGGGGTCAGGATTCTAGGTTAGCAGCACAGCACCTGCCTGGCCGAGCGTGGGCTTGTGAGTTTGATTCCTGCACTTCCCCACAAAAACAAACAAAAAGCCACAAAAGGAAATAGAAAAGACAAAATATAGTTTATTCAAGAACAAGAACAGAGGCCGGGGAGATGGTTCAGTAGAGTAAGTGCTTCCCTGGCAAGCGCAAGGGTCTGAGTTCAATCCCTGGTCCCTCCAGAAAAAAAAAAAAAAAAAAAAAAAAAGAACAAAAACAGAAAGTAATGAAAACTGTTGAAAAGTCCTAAAACATTGTGAATACAGGAATACTTTTATTTGATAAAGATGTAATTCTAGACAGTAATGAAAAGTTTTTAGAGAAGCTGCATTTGAAAAACTAATTATTTTAGGTGAATTCTATATTATATACACTTAGAAACATGAAAGTACACAATAATATAGTAGGCAAAATTTTTACTTAGTGATCTTAGTAATGTTTAGGAACCTTAGATCATGGAAGATTATTTTAATTAAGATACTCTTTTCTCTTCCTCTGAGGACAGCAGTTATTGGATTTGGGGTAAAATTTAAATCTAGGATGATCTCATTTTGATTCCTCACTAATTCTCTCCATGAAGAGACTGTTTCTGAATGAGGCTACATCTGAGGCTCTTAGTAAGTGCCTGGGATTTCCACAGTGTCAGGGGCACACACTCCACCTTTCTTTCTCCCCCAGGTGCTCTGTTTCCTCTGTGCGGAGGCAAAGCTTCAGGCAGCCTGATAATGAACTAGCTGGGAGGGGTCCTTAGCTTGCAGCTGCGTCCGGTGAGCTGGCATGTGTCCACAGTGGACAGAGGGCCACCCGGACACCTTACTGCTCGTGTCTCCCTGTTGAATTTCAGACACGACCACCGGCTGTGGCTGGCTCTCATTAGCCCCATAGTGTCAGGGAATCTCTAGCCTCCCTTGTTAGTGTGCTTCCCAGATTGCTGCTTATGACTGGAGATAGCACAGGCCTGGGGTTTTGCATCCCTTCTGTAAATCAAGTCAGCCCCATTGACAGGGAAACTGCTGCTTAATTATGTCCTGCCCTACCCCATTCGGATGGCTATGACGTACCAGCGGCAGGTTTGGGGCTGAGGATAAGCCCAGAAAAAAGAATGCTGCACTCTCAGTTTTTAACCAAAATTTCAGTCATTTTTCATGAATTAAATGCTGCTTGGTTTGTTTTAAGTCTGATTTGTTTCCAAAGGCACGTTCTTAAGGGGAGAGGATTCCATGGCCTGACTTCAGAGCTCTGGCACAATAATTTCGTCTTTCTCACTGAATTATAACTTGCCAGAGAAGAGGCCACCTGTGATACCGTTCTAGTATTTTTGTTTTTCTTCAGGGCCTGAAACAGTGCCACACACTGTCAGGAAAGAATGGATAAAATGTTTTACAAATAATATAAAGGTGTTGCTAATAATTTTTAAAATTGCACTGTGCAGTGGGGAAACTGGGGTCCACCCCAGACTTCCTCAGTTTATAGATGAGAATTTGGAAATGAGATAAATTTGAATGATTTGCCATGACATACACCACTACATGAAGAACTTGGACATGAACCAAACCCTTCTGATTTCTGGTCTGTATTCTTTCTATCCGCCATGGAAAAGCAATGGAGTCAGAATTGAGAGATGTCATAGGACTCTAAAAGGCAACATCACAAAGTAAATAGCAGAAGCAGGAAAGACAGGGGGTGTCATTTCTTGTTTAATACATTTCAAAAAGTGAAGAGCAAAATGGAGTAATAGCTGGGTATGCTCTGCAGTCCCACACACATCGGAGGAAAAGCTGTCACATCTAGGAGTCCATTTTCAGGGCCCGTTCGCAGCATTTTCTCGAGTGCATTTTCTTCCTGGCTGGGTGCTCCGGGAGTTGTCAGGCACCTGCTGCAGTGAGCTAGGTTCTGTTGTGTGAAGGTGGAGTTGACGTTTCTGCTGTGAAATCAGTGGGACTCCTCGGCTTTGCAGCCACCACTTGAGGAGTCCATTTATCATTAGAACAAGTGGACTTCGAGAACTTACTGCATGTTAGTGTTCCCGGATGCTAACTGTTCTATTTTTCCTAGTTTATTTAATTTTATATCACAAATACCCAGGTCTTAGTGTTTAGAATGCCTTATATCTGATTCAGACATCTTCAGGGGCACAATGTGATAGTCTTTTCACGTTTCTTGATGATAGAAAAAGGCTGATTATGGTAACGAACCTTTTACTGTTTGGGGAGACCGCATTTCCTATTGTTCTGGGTCCCGGGGAAGCCAAGATGAGTTCAGTCCCTGTTCAGCTCTCATGGATTTCACAGACAAACAACAGGGCAAGTATCTATGTTAGGATTTTCCCAGTGGGGTCCCTGTAGCATCAGCCTCTGCTGGACACTTGTTAGGTAGGCAAGTCTGTGAAGCCTGCACTGGGGTCTGCTGCATCCACAGCTTGGGAGTGAGGCTTACAAGCCTCAGCCTCAGCGCATCTTAACAAGCCCTCCAGGTGATCCAGGTGCACATTAAAGTTTGAAAACTCCAGGTGCCACCATATTTTAATATACTACAATACATGCAAGATTAGAAAGAAATGTGCGCAGAGTGGAAAGGTGAGTCTTGTTTACTGTATTCCTGACAGAAGCAGAGCAGTTTGCTGCTAGAGGAATTCTTAAGTAGCAGGATTCTGAGGCCCTGTGGAAAGGGGGGGTCTCTTGGGTAGGATTTTATCAAAGAGAATGGTAAAGCTTTGGAAAAATTAAAAACTGTCAATTGCAAGCATTCTTCTTAATTTATTGGTAGGATATTGGGGTGGGTGGGGAAGAAAAAATTCAAAGTCAAACAATTGCCTATGGTTTAGGGATGGTATAACATTGTCTTGTTCACATATATACGAAGATATTTAAAGTCATAACTTAAAATACAAATTTTATAAAAGCATGCCTCTCTCTCTCTCTCTCTCTCTCTCTCTCTCTCTCTCTCTCTCTCTCTCTGTCTCATATCAGGAATCAAACGCAGGATCTGGAACTTGCCAGGAAGGTTCTGCGTCACTGAGTTGCATCGCTGGCCCAAGCATACTAATTGCATAACAACATAACAACATTTTCTCATTCTAGGGAGCATGGCAAGATAGAGCCATGGGATTTAAAGAGATGTTTGTATCCCAATACTAACTCTCCCACTTACTGTATAATACTGAGTTAGTTACTGGATTCCTCTAATTCTTAAAATTCTTCATCTAAAAATTGTCAACAGGGATATCGTTAGCTCATGTGGCTGTTGAGAAACCACACACCTGAGATAAAAGCCCCATGCCTAGAAGTAGCATATGCTCTTATAATGCCAGAAACCATCATTTTATTACAAGATGGGGTTTTAAAAAGACTTAGCTTATTTATTAAGGATAAAATGGTAGAATGGCTTTTATTTATTTTTCATTATGTATTTGGTTGTAACAGGGTCTCACTAAGCAGCTTGGACTCCTGGTGCTCCTCCGGCTTTCAGCCTTCCCCGTGCTGGGATTACAGGCATGTGCCACCACACCCAGACTCTGGACAGCTCAGCCCGCCCTGGGGGTTGCACTGGCTAGGCATGTGGTGCCGGGGATCAAACTACAGTCCTTGTGCTTGCCCAGGCTTGCCTAAGCAGGTGCTTTAGTCTACTGAGCTATCTCCCTGGCTCCTAGAATGACTTTTTTTTTTTTTTTTTTTTTTGCGGTACCGGGGATTGAACTCAGGACCCTGCACTTGCCAGGCAAGCACTTATTCTACTGAGCTATCTCCCCGGCCCCTAGAATGATTTTTAATATTAATTAATTTTTTTTCTTTTTTTATACTGGGGATTGAACTCAGGGCTTCGTACTTGCCAGGCAGGTGCTTATGCCTCTGAACTGTTTCCTCAGCCTAAAATTAATTTTTATCGGCATACTTTGCCATACTGAATGATCACATTCTTCATAAGGAATTTGTGCCTGTACATATTATATCTTAATTCTTTTTTCCCCATTCCCTTTCCCTTGCTTCAACTCTTCTTCCCATCCTCATTTACAAAACTTAGTTTCCATGTGTTCCTTCCATACTTGTTAAATTCCTTGTTCCCCAATAGAAAGGCTTTGGGTGTTTAATTGTCTTCAAAAGATTATCTAGTGCTGAATATTGCATTTATCTAAAAAAAAGTAACATAGAAGATATAGGAGTGTTAGTTCAAAATCAACAGCCTTTGCAGATTTACTTGTCTCTTTTTTTCATTCCAGAGACCTTCCAGTTCATCTCTAAAAGGCACCATGGCTTTCCCTTCAGCCTCACCTTCTTTCTGAACGGGATGCAGGTGAACAGGTTGAGCTCCTGCTGTGAATACAAACACCGGAAGGGTTCCAGACTTGGAGGCAAACGAGGCTATTTTGGATTTGTGTGTGTAGAAAGAGCATCTCCTTGCTACAAGTAAGGAAATGTGTTCCTCTGCTAGAGCGCAGCTTCGCCTGAGTTTTCTTCTGCTTTGACAAATGCATTTATCGGCGCAGTTTGTTAAGAAATCTTAGCATGCACGAACCTAGTTTATCTAGGATACACACTGTTCACTCCAACTTTGAGTGTTCATATTTAAACCGATAAGTTACAAATCATATTTCCAGATATATCATACAATACAGATAAACAAATGTTGTTGGCCTCTTAAATTGGCTATCTTGCCTGGCGCCATTGAAGAACTTCGGCGGACTCTGGGAGGCCTGCGGGACTCCGGTAAACTCTAACCTTCCTTAGCCCCAGCACGCAGGTGTGGAGCTTCTGCTGGTGCCAATCCAAACTTTTAAGAACTTAGGAGGACTCTGAGTGGCCTGTGGGATGCGTAAGAGCTGCGATCTATGGGCTCAGCGCCAGCAGCCACAGAGCTTGCCTGGAGCAAGAACTCTGGCGGACTCTGGGCTGCCGGTGGGCCTCCGTGGGTGATTACTGGGAGCTTCAAAACTTCTAAATTGGCTTTTTTTTTTTCTTTTCCTCATGCCACCTTAAATTGTGTCTCTGAAGGAAACAGGTGTGTGTGTGTGTGTGTGTGTGTGTGTGTGTGTGTGAATCATCACTGTAACCAATTTGGAGCTAGACCCCAAGGCTGCGACATGAGCGTCTGTCTGTGTGATTGGACAGCACGCAGGTTGTGCCTGCGAGCGCGGTGCCTGCTTCCCGGTGTGGCTCAGATTTTATCCTTGTCATTTCAACCTCAGGCAGAACACAGCTTAGGTTTGAATGTTGTTTATCAGCTTTCATGTGAGACCTTCTGTTGGACATCAGGAGTTTTGCTTAAGGACTTTCTGTTATTTTATTTCTGAAAATGTTCCTAGAAAATCGACCCGATGCCAAGCTAGAACACAAGAATGAACTGACTAAAGTAGATGTGATCCTGGAACTTCTCCTAATAAGGAAAAGGGAGATAACGTACTAACGCAGTAATTAATGTAAGTCAGGTGGTCAGAGAGTTTTGGGGAGTGAAGGGCCCAGTACCAGATTGAGTGTGGTTTTACAAAGGTATGAGGGAATACTGCTCTGCGAAGGTACATCTTCTGCACAGAAACCAGATATAAAGTCCTTTCCAGGGGAGAAAACCATATCCTGAGGGCAGGAGGCAGAGCCCACTTACCATGCCTTAGCTCGACTTGCAAGAGCCAGAATGAGGAATAGACCAGTGATGGGAGATGAGAGCCGAGAGCAGTGGGACCATGCTGTGCTCAGGTCCTGAGGTCCTGACTTAGACCTTTATTCTGAAAAGAATGGGAACATTGACCATGAGCCAACAAAGTTCCTATGGGAAGAAAATGAACCAGGAAATAGGGGAACAGAAACTGCTCTAATCCAGAGAAGAGATGGGGTGGGAGTTAGAAGTAATTGAGTTCCATACATAATGTGTATTTTGAAGGTAAAGGCTACAGGGCTTCCTGGTATGTGACAGAGGGCCTGAGATGGAGAGTGAAATCAGAGATAGTCTCAAGTAATTTTTTGCCTGAAGAGCTGGCAGGAGGTGCAGTTACCTTGCAGTTAAGATGGGATTGTGGAAGAAGTGGACACAGATGGAGGTGGTGCTGGGATGAAGGGTTTGAGTCTGGGATTCATGTGAATCCCAGGTGATATTTTAAGTCAGAGAATCCATTGAGATCGTTTAAGAAATAAGTTCAGATGGAGAACATGTTTGATTAACAAGCTACATATCATTTCCATTTTGGAGGTGAGGGAAGTTGGGAGAAGCCAGCCTGAGCAGGAAAGACAGTTTTTAGAGAGAGGGGTATTTTGGAAATGAACAAAATGCATGAAAAATGAAAGTTTGGTTAACTGGTTAGATGTATGGATAGGCTAAGGAAGATGAAGACTGGAGTTGGACATTGATTTGATGATGGGTTACATATTGTGATCGTGAGACAAATTATTATAGTGAAGTTAATTTGATTGGATGGGTTTTAGGGCTAGCTAGAGAAAAAAATAACTAAAGGAAGAAAACAAAAGCAACTTTTTATTAGAGGTTTGCTTTAAATAATCATCAGTTGATGATAACCTTGCAAGGAATCCTATATAGGGTCAAAAGGTTTTTACTTTTCCTAGTGGAATATTACAGCAAGTTTTTCTGCTAGTAGATAGAAATGATAACCTACAGGGAAGAAAAGATTGATGAAGTGTGACATAAGCAGGGAAACTGCTATGGAGGTGAGTGCTTAAGAACGTTCTCTGTGGTGACAGAAGTAGGGGAGGGACACCATTTAGGGGAGAGAGAAGACGGTGGAGGTGGTAGGGCCAACTGGAAGCTCTCTGCTGATTGAGTCTCTCTTCCAAAGGAAAAAAAAATACACTTATCTGCTGAGTTAAAGAGGAGTGGCTGGAAGTTTTGGGGGAGAGAACAGGTGTGACAGAGTCACCCTGGGAGTGGGACATTGAATGACCTCAGGCTATACATCTGGGGTCAGCTGTGTTTAGGGGCCTGAATTTCTTTCATGTCCAATTCATACATGCTTTCTCCTTACTTGTGGGCAGGTCATTCAATGCAGGTCTGTTTAACTCCCAGGAAAACCTCCGGGCTTATATGCAGCACCCATGTACAAGCACGTTGGCTCTTGCGGAGTTGCTGGACAAATCAGAGGTGTCAACTTGTGGGTCTGAGCACTTTGGGCTTCAGTCAGTACCCAAATCTGACCGTGACATCTGCTCTCCTGCTCAACACCTCCTACCTGTTGTACAGGTTTTTTTTCATCTGATTTCAATAGTTATCTCCCTCTAGCTTCTTTCTGCCACTTTCCAAATAATATCAACATGGTTTTGATACTAAAGCATACACCTATTTTTCTCAATTAAAATACACAGTTTTACAATATTTTTTCAGTTGTTTTGTCAGCCTCAAAACCCTTTCTACCGATGAAATCTGTGACAGATCCAGGTGCGGTCTATGGATGGCCCCCTGCTGCTGAGCAGGCCAGTGGGCAGCCAGGGTGCTCTGGCTCCCCCTGAGACTGTCTCAGTTATTGCAGAGGCATCAACACTGCCTAATCCAGTGAGAGCTGAGAACTACCGCCAAGGGGACTGAGATCACATATTGCACATCATTTGCTTTGCCATACCCAGAATGGTACTTTTAGTTATCGCAGGGAGTGTATAATAATTTCTCTAGCTTGCTCAAAGTGAAATTTTAATTCAGTAAAAAAATGCTGAAACTTTGCCAGTGTGAAAAAGGAGGGCATGGTAAAATGAAACATTTGGGACATCTATTTCTAAAAAAAATGATTAGGAAGTACCCGTGTAAGAAAATCTGAGTGGTGGTCACTTCCAAAGTAGGAAGGTTCCATGGCCGTCCTCCTACCTCACCCCCTCGGTCTGTTTGGAGAGGAACAGTCGCTACTTTCCATGGCCAGAGAGAAACACAGGAAGAGGAATCACCCAAACTAGGAGAATTCAGTCTGTTTTCAGCTTCAGTAATCAGAATCAGCACCTCAAATTATGCTCCAAAGTCGAATAGGTAGTCAACGATGAGCACAGATGTGAGTCACTTTGTCCAATTCCCTTCAGCAGATGGGCAATAAAACGTGTGTGCGTGCAACAGGGAGGCATCAAAGCCTTTGCGCAGCCACAACATAAACTAAAAGCAACAGCATATCAGAGGCTCCAAATCGCTGGGCTTGGTGTTGCCACGAAAATGGGGGGGCAGCAGCCTGAACAGAAGGCCAGGCCAGGAATCCTGCTCCATGAAGATGTGCGACACTTTTATTCCGAGGAAAGCTCTGTGCTAAGCACCTCATCATTACTGTCTAGAAATATTTATCATGCTTAATATGGGTGAGGTGAGTAGATTTTTATTATCTTGTGTTTTATAGCCTGGTAGGTTGAGTGCAAATCCTTTCAGCTTTACTTTATGGGAAGATATTGAAATGTTAAGTGATATAACTCAGTTCTCATCTTTGCTTGTTGGGAGAATTTATTCCAATCAATTCCTGTGCTATTCCAAGACTGGAGATGGCTGAAATTCAGGGAAATTTTCAGTTTAAGAAATTGCCACTGGATTTGATTCATGTCGAGGGAATTTTCAGATTTTTGTATTATTTATATTTCCTGGACTGAGAACCATTGATTGCGCTGAGATGCCTTTTCTCCTGTCCACTATAAATGATTCGGCTCCTTGTAGTTGCCTGGCATGGGCGTGTGTGGCAATCCTGGGGAGGGAGCACTGGGGAGGTCAGAATGCGCCGCACACCTTCCCCTGTCACAAGGCCTTGGTGGAGGCCTCTCCAGATTGCTTTAGTGTCTAGTGTGAGAGTGCAAGTACTTTCTTGGGTGGTGAGTTCAACGGTGTGACATTCCTTGGTGTGCACATTTAGCAGAGACTCCCTGTGATAGAGCTATGCTACAGTGCGAGGTGACCTGGCATCGACCGCCATCATGAGCCTGCCTGGTGACCTCCAGCACACCACAGAAGCCTTTTCGCTCAGCTGCCCCACTTGTGCAGTGGGGATGATCCTGATTAGTTTATGGGTTTGTGGAGTAATGAATCCCTTCGGGTACTGTGTCCAGCACTCAGCACAGAGAATGGTGTGAGGGAGTGTACAGCCACCCACTGTCACAGTGGAATTCTTCTTTGGATATTGGAATTCTTCTTTGGATATTAACTTGAGGGAAAGGAGAGCTGTGGCAGACAGCTCATTCACTTTCCTTTTGTTATAACTGACGAGAACTTTTAAGAGGTTGTGGTGCATTGAGATCATCTGGCTGGTCCACAGCATTGACTTGGAATGACACTATGACTTGAACAAATTGGTGCCATTTTTGAAAAACAAAAACTTATTGCCAGCAAAAGAGCTAAAGATTGCAGTACAGTCTTTAAAAGGCCATTCTAAAAGCAATAATAGCACTTCTATTAGAATAAGTGTGAAGAGTTCTGAGTTACTTACTTGAAGGTCACAGCAACATTTAACTGTTTATGTTTCTTAAAAATAGGAATAATGGGGCTGGGGATATAGCTCAGCGGCATAAGTGCCTGCTGGGCAAACGCAAAGTTCCGAGTTCAATCCTGATTAAAAAAAAGAGGGGGCTCAGTGAAATATAGAGCTTGCCTGGCAAGCACAATGTCCTGAGTTTGATCTCTGGTACCAAAAAAAAAAAAAAAAAAAAAAAAAGATATCAATCATGTTTATCTAGAATCATAGGGCTGGCGAGATAGCTTAGCACATTAAGCATGTGCTAAGGCAAGGGCAGGATAGGGGTTCATTCCTCAGCACCACATCAACACATGCCATGGCTGCCTTGCCCCTGGACTCCTGGAAGTGCTGAGCAGGCCACCGAGTGCTGGTGGGGAGGCTGAAAACAGGTGGATCCCTATGAGTCCGAGCTGTGTAGTGAGATCCTGCACCAAATGCATACATATGTACATACATAGAAGCAGCCTTATATTTAAGTCTTTTGTTGTACTGTTGGAATAAAAAAATTAGAACAAATTGAATGGCGTCTTCTAATTTTTTTTTTCAGGAGAGGGCATTAAGCCTAGTGCTTTGCGCATGCCCAGCAAGCATTGTACCGCTGTTCTCCATCCTCAGCACCCTTCTGATTATTTTTATGTTTTTAAGCCTGACTGATCATATAATTCTCTTTTAAGGACTTGCATTATCTATTGATCTTTCCATCTATCCATAGAGCTATCATATGGACATATAAGGTATGATAAAATACAATAAATGTTTAAATCTTTAAAAAATCTTACAATGAAAGACATATTGTCATTAGTTCCCCTCAAAATATTCTCTCCTGCTCCAAACACACTCATCTCAGCATTCTTGCCACTTTCTGAAGCAGTTCTGCAAGAGTTCTTTTGTGAGTATCTTCAGTTTTTCTGTTCTGGCTGCCTTGACATCCAGAGTTGATTCAAAACATTCATTTTTAGGGTCATTTGGACTTCAGGGAAGATCAAGAAGTCACCCAGTGCCAGGCCTGGAGGACAAGGTGGCTGAGGGCACACTGCAATGTTTTTATTTGACAGAAGAAGCTGCTGTACATATAAATTGTAAATTGCTTCAGGTGAAAAGAGAGAGAGCTTGAGTGTGTTCGAAGCAAGAGGGAGTATTTTGAGGGGGATAAGGACAGTGTTTCTCTTCCTGAATGGACTTTTAAGATATAAATATGCGCCATAATGTTCAATCACATGTCATAGATCTATAAATGACTATCAGAAGGCCAAAAATATACCTTCAGTCCCAAATTTTAATTGACATAGTTCTTGGTTGATGGCTTGTTTTCTTTATTATTATCATTAGAGTAAACTTATTAATATGATATGTTCACTTATAGGTTTTAGCATCAATAAGATAGTTTGTTTTAATTAATATGTATACCAGTAATGCAGTATTTCTCATAGCACTTTTTTTTTTGTACCTGGGATTGAACTCAGGACCTTGTGCTTTCCGGGTAGGCAATTAAGCTGCCGGGCTGTCTTCCCAGCCTAATACTTCCTATTAGCAGAAGAGACAAACATTTTAAAAAGCTGTGAGGTCATACTGTTATGTATGAAGGTTAATGTATACTCTGTGTTATTTTTTTTTCCATAGGTGCATTATTGCAATGGGTCTTGACAAAAATCCATCTTCACTGAAGCCTATAAAAGAAAAGAGCCCTGAGGACAGAGAGGTTCTGCAGCACGAAGGGCAGCAGCTGAGGAAGGTCAGAGCAAACTGGATGCCAAGAGGAGCTGGGACCGAGGAGAACAAACTCTCTACCTCTGCCAGCTTCTTGGTGGAAGACATAAAACTGGATGTCGGAGAAGTAAGAACTGCTGTGCAAGAAATGGAATTTAAAGGAAAACCAGGACAAGACATTTGGGAAGACAACCAGGGTAATGCCTTTAAATAGGGTCATGAATAACAGGGTTTTACCTTGCTGTTGTTTGAGTTTCTAAACTGTTGTTATCTTTCGATATACTAATTCTTTCATGATTGTTGTCATTCCTTTTTTCACCCGAGAGATTATTTCTGATCTGATTTCCTCTATAGTGTGATGCAATTGCTTCTTTATTTCAGTTGATATCATTTAGAAATTTCATGTGTGGGACTTCCAGGTTCTTTTAAGACTTTGTCTTCTGGACTTGTTTTGCGTGGGCTGGAGGTCTGAGATTGCTTTTTGCTCCTTCCTTTCGACATTTTTAAAGCTGCCAGTGTTCACCCTGACTGCCGTCATGGTAGGGGGCAGGCTGCGGGTAAACAAGGCTCCCATGAGAATGGGAGGGTGGGCTAGATTCAGTAAAGCTCCCGCTGTGTGGAGCTCAGGGTGGTTCCCATCTCCCTGACGGAGGGGCAAGCCACAAGAAGGCTGCGAGGCTGAGGGCAGGCTGAAGCTCTGCAAGGCTCTCTGGATGGTGGGTGGGTGCAGGGTAGGGCTCACCAAGGCTCCTCCTACTGCTGGGACAGGCGGCTGCAGCTCAGCAGAGCTACAGTGACGCCATGGCCTGAGAGGCGGTCAGGCTCTCGTGTTGTGGAGGAGGGGGTGGGGCAGGGCTCACCAGGTCCCCGTTGCTGTGGGAGAAGCCTCATATCTATCCTTTTTTATAGCTGAACAATACGCCATTGTATAAAAACACCTCATCTTTCTTCTTATCCATTTCTCAGTCGAGAGGTCTTACAGAGCTCTGCTCAGTTGAAGGAACCCCTGCCCTCTTCGCTGACCTTAGAGGAGGGCAGCTGTCTCTGGGATATGAGAGGGGCCAGGGGGTGAGCCAGCAAAGTCCTGCGGACTCCACAAGAGATCATTTTGACCAGATGCAATTTTGCCTATTGTGTTAGCTTTTTAACGTATGTGCTTTGTTATAATTGATGAATAGCTTTGGCGTTAGGCGGGACTAATCTGGTGATTGGTGAGAGAGTATTGGGTAACTAAAAGCAGTCACCCTGGGCTTGGGATCCTGCGGCCTATCTGAAGTTTTCTTTTGCTTTCTTCTTTCCTTTCTGTTCTCTCTCTCTCTCTCTCTCTCTCTCTCTCTCTCTCTCTCTCTCTGTCTCTCTCTCTCTCCACACACACACACACACACACAATTTACATACATTATGTTGTTACCAGTTCTGAGAAACTGAGGCTCAGACAAAGCAACCACTCGGGTTCACACCCAAGTTGGTGCACGTCCACATTGCAGGCTTTCCAACGCTGTTGAATCTTCCATTCCCAGGGGCCACATGGTTGTGGCTTGTGTGTCCAGAAATTAGAGGGGGCTAAGAGCATGACTGTCCCTTTCCTGCCCAGGCCACAAAGCCTGGATGAGGGGCCACAGCCCACAGGTCAGGTCATCCATGGAGCAGCCGGACTCTCAGATGTCTTCTTCCTCACCTCCTCTTCCTGCTGCCCAGAGGTTTCAGAAATCTGAGAGAATGTTTACAGGATGATCAGAGCCTTGGCTTTTGTGTTTGTCTATTTCTGAAGCAATGTGTCTATTTTTAGAAAGATTTCTCTCCTAACTTTATTTTTCTATGACCCCTCTTAGCGTTTCTTCTTATCTTAGACTGAGAATTTAAAAATAATAACAACTGCAATTGCAAAGACATACACACAGGATGTTTTTCTACGTTATAACTTTCAAGGAAGGGTGGTCTGTCAAATCCATGTCAAACACTAGTCTTTCATTTTCTTCATTCCTTTTCCTTAAACCAACCTGGCAAGCATTGCAGGGGCTATTCTTTGTGCATATGAGGCAACGTTTCCTGACATCCTCGGTGTTGGCTGCTAGTGGCCTTTAAATGTGCATTTCTATGAAAACTCCCCCAAGGAGCAGCAGCAGCACAAGGGCGTTGGCTGTCTGCAGGGCAGCTATAGTGTGTGGGCCATCAGAAGCCAGAGGGTGGGCTCTGGAAGCGCACAGGGGCAGCACTAACGTCAACTGGTGTTGACTTGGGCCTCACAAGTGGGCATGGGAAGCAAGGTAATTTATTCTCTAGAAAAGAAATGGGATGTGGGGCCAGAACAAATCACAGAAAGGAAGGAGGCCAGCAAGCATGGCCCTGGCTTGTTCACACTGAAACCTTGAATGGGTGACCCGAAGGAGGCTGCCTTGTGCTATGATGACAATGGAATGTGTGTGGCTGTCGGAAGGCAGAGATTTAGATGTGATGGTGGGAGGGGTAGACAAAGTCAGGCAGCTTTTTCAGTTTGTTTTTAAATCTTTTTATTTATTTGGTTCAGGGTCTCTCTGTGCAGCCCAGACTCAGAATGATCCTGCTGTCTCAGCCTCTCCAGCACTGGGTTACTGGCATGCAGCGCCACGCCCAGTTCTGGTGAACAGCTTGGTGTGCCCAGGGTTCTGAGGCTGGCACAGCATGTGGTACTGGGATCAAACCCAAGTCCTTGCATTTGCCAGGCAGGCACTTAGAATGCTGAGCTACCTCCCCAGCCCAGTCAGAGAGCTTTGAATTTTCTGTTTTAAAAAACAAAACAAGACAAAATGGAGGCATCTCCAAAATAGGATGCCACTAGCAGCCAACATCGAAGAGAGATCTCAGGACTTTTTATGTGCTTCATTATAGGTTCTTTCAATTTTATGCTTTATTTTAATAATATAACTTTAACTGTGTCCTAGTGGTGGACGCTTGAACTGCCTGATCTTCATGACGTGCCCCTATGAAAATGTACTGCAGTCCAAGGGGCACCTAGCGTGGGCAATTTCTCCTGCTTTATGACCACTTCCTTCCACTCACAACTCCTGTTATAGCGAATGCCTGCTATTCATTAGGCACTCACAGCTCATAGCTAGTGCTGTGGTAGAGGTTACTGCTTTGAATGCCACCATGCAACGGCAAGGAGAAATACCAAAATGACACCCAGGGATCGCAGGCAGTTTTATTCACCTTGATGGGCACTGCTGGGAGTCATTCCTAGAGTATCAGTCCCTGATCCCTGGTGGTCTCGGGCTTATATGGGATAAGCGAGCAGGAAGTGCAGAAGCAGAATGGCTTGGCAGTCGGGGGTTGCTTCATACAACGTGCAGCCTAGTGACCAGCTGTGCATCCCAGTGCCCAGCTGTTTGTCCGAGAGAAGCAGCCGGATCTGGAACAGAAACTATTACCTAGGCGACTAAGAAGTTGAGGTACAGTGGTGAGGGGAGTTTCCTGCGATAGCCACACTCTTGTACTAACCCAGATGAAGAAATTGAAGCCTAAAGATTTTCAACAAATTGTCCAAGGTCACATAACCAGGAAGTGCTTTAACTGGGAGTTGGACATATGAGGACCAGACTCCAAACCCATCTTTCAGTACAGTTTAATACTCTACTACCAATAAAACGGCAGCAATCCTCTTGCGTTCTGTGCAGGTCCCTCTTTATCTTGTGACCAAGAGCAAAGGTATAAAACATTTTTGCATGTATTCTGGGACCTTTGATGGAATATTTTCATACTGCTGTTGATCACAGATGACTGAAATCATAGAAAGAATAACTGCCTAGTGGGGAGTTAATGCTCCTCATGCTGCCTTCCATAAGTGAGCACCTTCTTGCTACCTTATTTCCACAACAAAAACTGGAGTTGCCTTGGTGGCAGATGTTGTCGTAGGTTTTTGGGGTTTTTTTAGTTCTCTTTTCCATAGAAGCTTCTTAGGAACTGCACCAACTGGGGAACAATCCTGGGCCTGGCTAGCAGGACTTGGCTCTAATGTTCATTTGCTCGTGTCAGTACCTCCCACGAGTCATGCCACAGGAGCCAAATTCTTCATCTTTCTGCTTGTTTTACAGTTTTGTTTGGCTGATGCCCACCTTGCTCATTTACATGTATTAAATATCTTCTGTGGAAATGCTTTTGGGAATTCTCCCTTTTTGCCTTCTTCATGATAGTTTTGATTTCCTGGTTCCTCTTACATCTTCCTCATTTGCTTTCTGCTTCAGCAGGGCTTTCGTTATATGCACAGGACGTGAGTTTCTAAATTAACTTTCTTTTATTGCAGCAAGGTGGACCGCTTTCAGACAAATACCTGAGAGCCCCCTGTCCCGCTGGAAGAGAAACCAGGGTATCTAATAATTAAAACCCACAAAATTGGGAACCTTTATTTTACTTGTAATTTTTATTTTTAAGGATAATTTGTTTATTTGCTTAATTGGTTCTGCATGAGATAATTTTGCTCTCCCTCTTTGGCATGTTGTCACTTTAAGACTTTTAGGTTTTGGTAGAGGAAAAAGGGGAACAATTAAATATGAAAGCTGAAAAATTATAGCCACAAGGGATGGCTGGAGTTTACCTAATGTGCCAATTTCCTTTTCCTGCTACACGTTTGTTGCATATCCGTGGGGACGAAGCAAATTTGTGACTGTGACAAGAATATTCTATGTTGTAGGAATTTTTATACTTGGAATGTAATTATTTCATTCCTTGTAAGAATGAATAATGTATATGTTTGGATTTCTGGCTTGGGTATAGAATCCTTCATAATGCCTTTTTAATGTCCATTTGCTTCTCAAAGAATGTGCTATTCAAGGTGTTACTTCTCGGGGCATTTGGACTTGATTAATTGAATTTTTCCACTTCACTGTTCATTAACTTGATATCCAAATATTTCGAACATTCTTCATATGAAATACGACCTCAGTGGGTCTCCAAATTAACTTTCATTATTATAATCCTGTCCTCTTCATTTTTAATTTGCTTCTAATGCATTGTCTTGTGGCAGGTTCTTCCCTTTCCACTGTGGTCATTGTACATGATGGTATCCATTTGAAAATGAATGTTTATTAGGATTCAGTCCTGCCATTTGCCGAGGTTCATTTCCTTTATATTCGCCTATGTGTAGCTGATTGCAATCTTTGTTCACTTACTGTTAGTTTCCATGTTCACTAATTGCAAGGAAAAGAAGCAGCAAAGAAAGAAGCAGAGAGGGGAGGATAGCAGAGCCAAACTTCTCATTAAAGTGAAATGGGTTAAGTGCCAAGGATTCGATTTTCATTCTTACGGTGGAGATTTTCTTTTTCAGAGTATGAAGAAGATTTTGAAGTAGATGAGGAGAAGCAAGATGAGAAAGCTAATGAAGAAGGACAGGCTGGTGATCAAATGAATGGAATATCAAAGTCACCCTCAGAGGATGAAAAAGATAATTTAGGCCCTGAAAAGGAGACTTCAATCTCTTCACAGGAGGCGCTGGGTGCTGATGGTGGCGAGAAGGAGGAAGGATGCTCTGACAGTGAACTGGAGGAGGAGAAACAAGGCAAGTGCAGCTCATCCTGCCGTAAGTGCAGACGCGGGCCGCCCCAGCAGTGCTCCTCCTACTTCTCTGTCTTTTGTGTTTTCATAAGAGGATCTGCCAAGGGCATGGGTGTGGTGTGTGACCTGAGCCCCAGCCCTGGGCTGCCCGCTCGCGGTCTGCACCCACATGACAGAGTCGGCCCTTAGTCCTTGCTCTTGCCTTACTTGGGTGGGGATTTTCAGCAGGGTGCTAGGTAAATGGGGTGGTGACACAGATCTGTGTAGTTACAAAGTTATTCTATTTGTATCCCAAATTCCCTTTCACACACACACACACACACACACACACACACACACACACACACATTTTATGAGTTTGAAAAATGAAAAAATGCTGATACTTTAATAAAAATTAAATTGAAGATGTTTTCCCTTGTTCTATTTTCTTCCTTTTTCCTTCTTTCCTTTTTTCTGCTTGCTTTCTCTTTCTTTCTTTCTTTCTTTCTTTCTTTCTTTCTTTCTTTCTTTCTTTCTTTCTTTCTTTCCTCTCGCTCTTTCTTTCTTCTCTTTCTCTCTTCCTCTCTCTCTCTCCTTATCTCCCTCCCTCTCTCCTACCCTCCTTCCCTCCCTCCTACTTTCCCACCTCCCTTCCTCAAACAAAGGATGCTGCTATTTGTCCATGGCAGATTTTGTGGTAGAATTTTATAATCTTTAAGTCTAAATGACTTAAAATGTACACAGAGAAAATGTAGAGCTTTCAGATAGACAAGTAAACCTTTACTTGAGGCATACAGCATTTCAACATTTGAGAACTTTGTCAAGATTTTAATTCACCTAAAGTCTTTCCAATGAAAGAAGAAAGACAGTTTCCTCTTTATTTTAGGAGAAGATTTGGTCAATCTTCTATGGATTTTAGTTAATAAAATATCTCTGTAGGACATGCATTGTAGTAATAATAAACTTATGTCTGAATATGTGTGTTTTTTTATAATTTGCTTCTAACGAAAGTACAATGAGACATTTTGGTGATTTTTTTGAGTTGTCTATTCTTTTCACCTCAATTTTTTGATATAAAATTTCAAAATTTTCAATTCAGAAAGTATATTAGAACATATAAGATTGAACAAAATAATCAAGTCATCATCATAGGAGCATATATGTAGCTTGTACAATAGTTCTCTGTTCTTCAAAAAATAAACTAAACCTATTTAAAAGTTCATGCATACATATACAAGGCAATATAATTATTTAGAGTAAAATAGAATAATTTTGCTATAAACAAGAGGTGGGATCATGACTGGATCTGAACCAAAAATTTAATTCTGGCTTCCTGACAGCTAAGGTAAAAAGCAAAGCACATTTGCAAAATGCAAATGAAGTTAATTAGCAGCAATTTTTGAAACAAGATTTGCATTAATTTTTATTTATAGTTTTAATTTTTATTTTAGTATTCTTGTGTAATTGAAAGAAACTACTTAAGACTAATCATCGGGCATTTAATATTTTTTAATGCTTATACCAGCGCTTTTCTATATTTTCTCTTAGTTCTTGCGTTTTCTGTTTCCTAGATTGGATGCGCCTGTCTCATAAGCTCCGCTCTCAGTTTGAATGTGAATATTGTGCTTAGCTTTATGTCTTGTCTGATGCAGAGAAGGTTAAAGAATTGAATGGAAATGTGGCATCACCTGTGTCAATCCTTGTAAGGAAATTATCCAAATGGCTTGAGCCTAGAGAATCCAAAACGTGTCTGTATAGAAACGTAACAGGTTCAAATCACACGAGACTCTTAATTTTTTATTTGCACAGTAATGATAAGAAATTATCAAGTGGTTGATTTCAGGAAGCCACAGCATACCCGGGGTGTTTAGTTATCTGGTTATTACTTTTGTGCTACAGAATCACTTTGCTTTTGGGGGAGCTGAGACACAATCATTTTTTATGTTCAAGCAAGGAGACTGTCCTTGAAGGAAAAGCTCGAATCATTGAGACCTGTAATTATGCATTCATAGCAATAGGTAACCCTCAGAGCCCAGTGCTTAGAGAAAATTATAACTTTTCTTCAAAATCAGAAAAGATCCCCTTGCCTAAAATTAAATTTTCCCAATAAAATGATTTTGTTTCCTCAAGGTTATGCATTTCACAGGCTGAGCTTTTTATCCGATGTTATTGTCTATCTTTTCTTTCTTTCTTTTTGTCTTATTTTGCTTTGAAAAGGAGGAAGTAAAATGGACAGTTTCCAATTTTGCGCATGTGGACCGTGGCTGTGTCCTGGGTGCACCGGACCTGTGCAGGCGCTGGCTTTGGTCCCCCTCATGCCTGCCGCCCCCATGATGCCACCCCACTCAGCAGCCTTCATGGACCCTTTGGTTTATGAAGCACTCGCACTTACTGCTTCTTGTGGTTTAAGTTCTGTCCCTTAAATTAATTACACAAGCTAACAATCCATAGACTTGTTATACTATGAAAGCTAATACCATCCAAGGACCGGCCAAATAGCTCACCAGATTAAAGCGCGTGCAAGCAGGCGCAGGGGCAGGGGGTTCAATCCCCGGGCCTGCTGTGCCGGCCCCGCCCCCGGGGCGTGCTGAGACAGCAATTGAGACTGGGCGTGGTGGTGCGTACCTGTAACCCTAGCTCTTGGGAGGCTGTAAACAGGCGGATCACTCCGAGTCCGATCTAGTAGTGAGACCCTGAACACCCTATAGACCCTTCCCTAAAATAAAAAAAAAAAAATTTAAAGTGTAAAAAAATAAAAATAGCTAATACTGTCCTGTTGTTCTTGCTTTTCCTCACGGAGCCAATTTCCTAGAAGATACTTTGTACATTTTTGAAAATACTTGACTGTGAACACCAAGAATTGCAAGGAGCTGTGGTGCACGCCATGACTTCTAGCTGCATTTATGGGATTTGATTTTGGGGCTCTTTATTGTAAAACGTTCTACGGCGCTAGTGGCACCGTTGATGTACAGAACGTGTGATGATTACAACAGGCAGGCAGTGAAGGCTAATGAGAAACAGCCGGTCCTCAACTACTGAGAACTTTAAGAACCAGAAATTAGTGTGACTATTTTCGTTGTCATTTTAATAATATTATCAAGCTATCTTTTTCCATTCTAGATGTTTACATTGTAAGTTAGTATTTTTTTTTTACCAATGCATGATTTTATTTTTACAGATAACTAAAAAAACTATAACATTACTATTGATCTGAAATAAAATTTCATCCCAGTAGTTATTATTACTATTCCCCCCCCCCGCCCTCACCTCTCAGGCCTCTTTTTTTTTTTTTTTTCATTCTTTTATTTTGATAATCTGCTTTGGAGTTATTAAGAAAGATGCTTTTTACCATTCGGAGTATCAGAAATAGAGACTTTATCCGTCAAATAAGGGGCACGTTTTCAGAAGGATAACGACGTGACAGATTCCTCGAACTACTCTTGAAAAGCACGACAGCACTCCATCCTCGGGTTGTAGGAGGCACCTTGTGACCACCGAATCCCAGGCACTAGCACATCCCTTCTGTTGACATGATTAAGGATCTTGCTGTTGGTATTTGGATGTGTTTCCTTTGAACCTGACTGCACCTGTTCCCAGAGGGCAAACAATTGCCCGGACTGTCACTCTCGTGACAAGTCGGCCCCATTTAAACTGCCGGCTAACAATCGCGCAGCCCACCTTGATGAATGCGCTGCCGGCAGCCACCGTGATGGATGCTGTGGACCAGAAGCTGTCGGGGGCGGACTCTGGTTTAGGAATGATGTGTGAGGCTGCCTATCATTTAAGGGGAATGGCAGCTCGCTTTCTGTGCATTTGTGTCGGCAACCCTAGGCACTAATTTACCAGTTGAAAGTATATTGTCGTAGATGAATGGTGTGAGATGGAGGGGAGAAGTATCATGTCATGGGGAAGAGGCTGCTTTGCTTTTGTGGACAGCTTGGATGATAGTACCTAGGACTAAGCGGTAGAAAGTAGCTCCTCATGAGAGAAGGACAGGAAAGAGGGAGAGAGAGAGAGAGAGAGAGAGAGAGAGAGAGAGAGAGAGAGAGGAAAATATTCAGAATATTAAATGGCAACTTGAAAAGGCAAATCCTGAAGCCATTTTTTTTTTCTAATAAAAAAGATAATTTCACTTCTGCTGCTTTTGTTTTCCAGTCTGTTAGAAATACACCCCGTAGTCTTTTAAAATCCCAGAATTGCAGAAACACTATCTGACTTACTGACATCAGGAATCTTACTGACTGAATTAAGAGTCTTGCCTGACTGTGAGTTTGAAGAGAAGCATCCAGTGACGTTTTCTCCTCTATGTGGAAACTCTGTGTGCTGTCACCCTGCGGACTTTAGTGACCCGTGCCGCCTCCTTGGATCAGAGAGCATTCTGGGAAGACTGTAGGCTGCTGTTGGACAGAAATTTCTCTCCGATTTTTGCAAGGTTTGATTTCTTAAGAGTAAGAGCTTATGTTTGATTATTAAACTAGGTAATCATAGCTTTGAGGTGAATATTAAATACAGACACATCCTTTAGTTTACACAACATACTTTTATATAAACTATTCCTTCACAGGTTTGACTCTGTCATGGGTATAACATCGGCACTCCCTGGATGCTCAGCAAACTCCTAGGATAGAGGCTCCTGATTGCGTGCCTGAGTGAACAAATGTGTGCAGGTTTACGTAGCATAGGAGACGCATGACTCAGTTGTACACTCAATACTATAATCTCATTTTTATGCTTATAAAGTATAATTAAAAGTAACAGTGGTGGAAACCTTATACTGTCTTTATGTTTTCTTTTCTTCCTGCTACATCTGCATTTACCTGCGAATATGTACTCCTACAAAGTAATGCATAGATTTTTCTTATTGATGAATTGAGGCACTTCAATCTGTGATAATTATCTGTGTGAGGACATATATTCCCTCCCATGATAAATGACTAGTGACTGTTTCCACCTAGAATTTAATGATTTCTGTTTTCATTAAGCACACTGTCATGCTATAATATTTATTGAGTATGATACAATTGTCTAATTATGTATTGCTGCATGTGAAGATACTGATTCAATCCCAGTATCTATTATAAATTATAAACAGATTTTCATGAACATATGGATATAATCAAGGCAGAAATATGCATACAATTAGAGGGCATATAAATTTCAGTGCCATGACTCATTTAAAGAAAGAGGAAGCATTACTTATTTAGATTTTGCACAGAAAATTTAAATTAATGAGAGATTTGATTTTTTTCAGAAGAAAATTTAGAGTTTGGAAATTTTAGAGTTCAGAAGACTATTGAGCTTATTGGGTGGGGACCCATGATATATCATTGAGTGATTTAAATTTTAATTAACACTACTTATTTGATTTTGCAGTCAAATTGAGATGTCTGTATAGGGTTCTGGCTAATAAATAAAAAAGTTAAGCAAAATATAGTAATTGACAAAACAGTGAATTTAAACTTTCTACATTATAGCTAATAGATGCTGAGTATATTTAATTCTTTGAACCTCATTTTCCTAGTCTGGAGAAAGAAAGCAACAAACATTCAATAGGATTAATGAGATATTGTAAAATCCTTTGCTGTTTGGTATACAGTAGGTGTATGATTCTGATCATAAATCTGTGACATCACTGTTGTTATAGTACATACTGGATGGAATAGCAAATAAATTTATGAGACCACAGTCCATGTATAATATAAAAGACTTTAAGCTATCAAGAAATGATTATTTAATTTGATTAGGTTAACTTTGTTCTCATGTAATTGCTTGACAATAATTTGTGAAAAACCAGTAGGGTCATCTTCATTTTACCCAAAAAACAGAGGCTTGGAGAACTTAACTAGCATCAATAATCTCAAAGCTTCTAACTAGCTGGTCATGATGCGGACATCTAGGCTTGTGTTACAGAAGAACATACTATTGATACCAACTTTATGTTTTGTGAACTAAGATATTAAGTGCTGTGATGCACAAAAAGATAGTCATCAGTGCAAAGCTGTTAATGACATATAAAGGAGGTGATTTGGGGACTGACTGATATGGAGGGAAAAGCTGGAGACAGCTCCACCTTTGGCTATGGAACAGTGGTTTCAACCCTGCTGGATTTGGCCAAGGCCTCAGGCACTGGGTGCAGATCTTATTTTGCCAGGAAAAAACAAAACCAAAAAACAAGCAAATGAAAGAAAGAAAGAAAGATCAAAACTAAGAAAGCTCTTTCAGCATCAGTGCCAGGATGGACACTGTGGAGACAAATGGAATTGGGTAGGAAGCTGAGGTGTTTACCAATAACCTCCAAGGTGGTTTTCCCCTCTAATGACAAAAATTCACATACGTGCCAGGAAAGTTCCTTTATATGAACGTCTTTGTAGAATACTTGTTTCATTTCTAAGGGAACAGATAAAAGTCATTACTGACTGAATTACTGGCCCTGTGAAGGCCCTGAAGATTTTTGAGCTCTTTTTGGTAAGCAAAATCTTACCCCAGATTCAGTATGAAAATGAAAGCAAGAAATGAGATGGAAATGAAATTATACCACGAGGTGAAAGAGAAATTGGGAAACTGAAATGAGCTGATAGCGGAGGTCAGGTGCCCTCGCCACTTCAGGCCCGCTCATTCTCCTGATCTTTCTTTGCTGAAGGACTGACTCAAAATTGAACCCAAGCACATGTCAGCCTTTCAAAATAAAATAATATAATTAATAGAAGCTTTGCAAGAAAGATAAAGGGCTGCTCATTTTTCATTATGAGAATAACTCTTGAGCCAAGAGTGGGAGTCTTGAAGAAGCTCTTGATAGTAGATATATTTTCAGTAGCTCAGGACAAGTCTAACATGTCCCAGCCAACGGTGTAATTAATGAAAGCTATTGATTAAATCAGTAATAAGCAAGCGTTGTTTTTCCTTATCTAGAATGTAAATATAAAAATGTTTAAAAATGGGGGATACAAAAAAAGGGCCGGCCAAATAGCTCAGCAGATTAATGCACCTGCAAGCAGGTGCAGGGGCCAGGGTTTCGATCCCCAGGGCCTGCCGGGCCATGCTGGCACTATCCCCAGGGAATGCTGAGATAGCGATTGAGACTGGGCATGGTGGCGCACACCTGTAATCCCAGCTCTTGGGAGCTGTAAACCTGTAAACAGGTGGATCACTATGAGTCTGATCTAGTAGTGAAACGCTGAATACTTCGTAGCCCCTTCCTTAAAATAAAAAAAAAATAAAAAAAAAAAGAGGTGGAGAAACTAAGAACCCTAAAGTTTCTGAATTGATACTAATAAAACAGAGACAACTCACTCAACCTACCATGTTCCCTGCAGATACAGCTTATCTAGATTTTGTAAGAGTAGCTAAAGTATGCGATTGCTTTAAAACATAATGGTCAGTTGTTGCTTATCGTGGTGTTGGGAATCATACTCAAAGGGTTCTGTTGTTCAATAGCTTGCTTTTGTAGTCTGTTTTTTTCTTGCTTCTGTTTAGTATCTCTTAAATCTTAGTGGGAACACAGATAGGTCTCTGTGACTATACTTATAACTATACATATATTGATTGGCAAGACCTATCATAGAGAGCTGGAGGTTGATGGACTTGAGGGAGAGAGAGAGCGAGCGAGCGAGCGAGAGAGAGAGAGAGAGAGAGAGAGAGATTTCTTTCCTTAAACTGCATTAAATGCTATAGCCATCTGTGTAGCTGTCAGTCAGAAATTTTAAAAATAAGGTAGTAAAGAGCACAGAGAAAAGAGAGATAGGCAGGATTTAAATATAGCCTATTTTATCTTAAAATATATTCTATGAGAAATAGTTATGAACACAAATATATTGATGAAAAAGCAAAAGCAAGTTCTATTTCTGAGATCCCAGACATGTTGTGCAGTGAGTTTTATGCTGTAAGTTTTCCTTATAGAGGCTCAGTAAGTATGTTACATTCTTAGATGTTTTTAAAGGTTATTGCATAGTATGTGAATCTCTTTTGATTATTGCAAATTTCTAGCCTGTGTATCTTTAGCACTACCTTAGCATAGGACTCTAATTTCTTATCTGGTTTTGTGTGCCTAGTTCCTGGTTTCTATGTCTTTGGCTACTGCAATTCTTCCTCACTGGGTTTGTAGCTCAGGGGTAGAGCATTTGATTATAGTTCACCCTCAGGGACAAACAGCCAGGAAGTTCAGGGAGATTTCCAACCCCTTTAAAGAGTGGCCCATAGCCACGATCTTACTGATATAAAATAGGAAAACTCAGCTTTAACTTGATTTATTTGTATGCTTCTACTATAACCTACACATCAGAGACCCCTGTAGGATAAGACTGAGTTTGAGGTGTTTTTTTTTTTTTTTTTTTTTGATGGAACCAGGGATTGAACTCAGGCCCTTGTGCTTGCCAGGCAAGCTCTTATTTTACTGAGCCATCTCCCCGGCCCCTGAATTTGAGTTCTTAATTGAGATAGCTCCTTGACTGTTTCTCTTCCTTTCTTGGGTTTCCCTATGCCCTGAAGTGTTTCTCCTGAGCCTGCCCTCAGTATGTCACTTGCTCATGAAGCTTCATCTCATTCCTTGCCTCTGGGGGAGCTTAAGGTAAAACAGTATCTCCTGTACACACACAATATCCCTCACTTAAATATTTCTTAAATGCTTATATTGTATAAATTTGTAGGTCTTACCATACCTGGATCCCAGGGTGTCTTATATGATGGATATCACAATAGGTAATACTTAAAGTTTCATCTATACAAGATGACATAGAAATATATACCTCTGGTGTAATAGAAAATTAAAGGATTTCTTACTAACATTTTTGTGTCCTATCAGATATTTACAAAGGTTTTTCCATTAAGTTGACTTTCAAAAAACAAATCAAAACAACAAGGATTTCTTGGTTTAGATGTACCTATTGTTAAAGACTTCTATAGTTAATAGACTATATTTTTCTTTGTCATGACAAGTATGTGGAATATTTTGGAAAAGGATCAGAGCTAGTTAAACTATCTTTTTAAAATTTTGCTACAGCTATATACTATCATGTTTTCCACTGTTACACTGATTAGAATAATGATGTCACCATTTTTAATTTTTATAGATACACGAAGTGCTTCATCAGTCTCATCTGGTCCATATTCTAGTGAGAGTGAGGATGACTCCATAGAGCTGGGCAAGGAAGCCTGTTCTGAGCACGGTACACACGCTGGTGCCAGAAGTTCATCCTCTCTTGAGCTGAGTGAAAGTGATGAGCCAGGAAAATCCCACCTTCCCATCGAAGAATCCTTTGAACCTGAACTGGAAGACCTAGAAATAAGAGAAGGAGACCTGGAGAACCAACCTCTGCCAACAAAGGAAAGCTGGGACAACGTTCTTGAAGAAATGGGGAGAGGAGCCCAGGGAATTGCAGAGAATTCATCCAAGAAGTCTGGGAAACATGCTCGTGAGGAGGAAAAAGAAATGGGAAGGAGCCAGCTTGGAAAAGGAAGCCCTCCTAAGGTGGAGGACAGACAGGCGGGTCTCCCTGGGGTGGAGGAAGGTGGTAAGTATGGCCTCTGAGTTGACCTGGGCTGTCCCCATGCATGGAAGCTGATTGTGGCCATCACTCACTGCCAAGGCTCGGGAAACACAGCTGTGATGCTACCGGGGGGACGCAATGTTCTCCATTTCTTCCCTTGTCACATAATCATACATGTATGTTCAGCTTGCTGTTTTCCTTCTGTTGCATTTAAAAAAATTACTTGATAATTCTTACATTCTGTTTCCTATTTTCTGTAAATTCCTCCTTGTGGTAATTCTATCTCAAGAATCAAATAAAATGAAATGCATGTCTGAGTGAAAAGGTATGTGTGGCTTTTTAGAAGTTAATACTAGTAATGCTGTTTGTTTTTAGCTATTTATGCATTTACATATCCATAGCTCACTGTGTCCCAGGAGTGGTTCTAAATACCTATATTAACTGATTGCTTCCTACAGCAGCCCAATCTCCTCTTGAGGTAGGTTCTGTTAACATTTCTTTTCTGTAGATGAAAAAAAATATGGCTTGAAAAAGTTAGGTAGGTTGACAAATACATAATGACAGGACTTCTGGAGATTTGAATCCAAGCTGATTATTTCTAGCATTTCTAAAGATTTCCTACTGTATCCATATAATTGAAATTTGGATTTAGATAAAAATGCAAAAATTGCCCAATTCCAAATTTTATTTTGCACTCTTCTCTGAAACTGAATTATCTCATCATCCCTGGGGTTCTTGCACATGTAGGATGGTCCCCTTGGACACGGAAGACTGTAGTGAATAAAAGCTATCAGGGCCCAGGACCTCTGACACATGAAGGTTGGATGCTTTTCTTACCTTTGAAGCATGACGAAAAGACTAAGTTACAATGCAGTGGTCACTTTTAGTTCCGAGAAAAATGTGTTTTTAGATTTTTGTGTTATGAAACTCAACCTGTGTTTTAGGAAGTTATATGAATTCTTCTAATGTCTCTATTTTAGACCTTTAACAATTGCTGTTAAACAACTGGCATCTACATGAAGGAGTGGGGAATTCTAATAGCCTTCTAGTCAACCACTGATGCTAACCTTGGACTATATGTGAGGCATCATCATCCTTAGGAAATATACGAGAGTTCGTCCCATTAAATATTAAGAAGCCTTGGCATTCTAATAACTAGGCAGGCATCAGTATCTATTCATGCATAAAGTCAGAGAAGGTACAAAGTGCTAAAGGAAGAGATGTTTGGTTAAGGACATCTTGCAAGTTTCGTGAAGACCATGTTTGAGAAAGGCTTTAAATGTCAGATACAATTTTGAAGTTGAGGCATAGCACAATAAAAGAACTTCAGGTAATTGTGTGTAACAAGAGATCTGACCTTTATGTTATCAAAAATAACTAGTACAAACTAAGATTAAAAACATTTTATATTTTTAAATGACACACAAAGCTCTAGAAATTCACTATCTAGGTCTTTCCTGAAAAATGTTTGTCAACCTCTTCCCTAGAATTATAACACAAAGGCTCTCAGCAGTTTCAAAAGGACTTTACCAATTCAAAATTATGATTAAAGTATATTTGAAATACTTTTATAATATAATTCTAATCTTTAATCTTGGGTTTCCTTGTTACATTTTAGTAGAGTCTGTATAATCTAGAAAATGTACATAATTTGGCCACCTGCTAATTTAAAAGTGAAAGGTATGGATGGGGGTACAACTCCATTTTAGAGGCTCTGCCTACCATGTGTGAGGCCCTGAGTTTGAGCCACAACATGGAAAACAAAAGAAATATAGAGGCGTTAACTTTCAGCATTAATAGTGCCATTATTGTTCTTAAATTTATGTTAAAAAACTAAATGCTTTGCCCATACTTATATAAATAAACATCTTTGTAGAAAGCAGGGCATATACTGTCTCAGTTGTACTCAGCTGCTGGCTAGACTGACAGCAGCAGAGAGACTGCATTATGACCAGTGTCTTGTGATCTCACTTAGATGACAGCGGTTCTTCCCCGGGCTAGGAAGATGATGAGTGTTTCACTTTATTACTTTTCTCGCATATACTGGGAAACCTGCATTTTTGACTTGATGACATCTATCATTTTAAAACATTTCACTTCTTTTTATTCAGGTGGCTTCAAAACTAGATGGGAAAGTGTGGGGCTTTTTGCTTTCCTTCAATTTTTAGTTTTATTAGTGCGTGTCTGCAGTCCACGGTGATTGCATCTATCACGGGAGCTAGTACATGCATGTTACATGCCTTGATTCTTTATCCCCCTCCCCACATCTCCTGGCTCCCTTCCCACTTGTAAAAGCTCTCTCTTCACTTTTTAGAATCTTTTAAAACTTACCCTTCTCCCCTCTCCCTCTGTGCTCCCTCCATCTTTTGTTCTCTTTCTCATTTGAAAAAGATCTTCCTGCTTTCCTCTCTTGTATCTTCTGTTTTGTTTTTTATACTTTGGGCTTCTTGGTTACAGGAACTATGAGAAACTTAAGCTTGTGTGTCAGATTTCTTTTACTTAACTCTATGGTCTCCAGGTGCATCCATTTAGCTACCAATGACTTCAATTTATTTTTCTTTACAGAGGATTCATACTGCATTGTGTTTAAATCCTACATTTTTAAAAAAATCTGTTCATCTGCTGATGGACATACAGGGCATGTCCAAGATTTAGCTGAGAGGAATTGTGCTGCTCTAAACATGGGAATGCATATGTCTCCGTAGCATGAGGTCTCGAAATCTTTTAGTGAGATACCTAGAAGGGGACCAGCTGGGTCAAATGGAATTCCTAGTTTTCGTTTTCTGTGGAATCTCCGCACAGATTTCCATAGTGGCTGTGCTAGATCACATTCCTGCCAAACATTCAGAAGGGCACCTTTTTCCTTGCAATTCACCAGCATTAGTTGTTTGGTTTCTTGATGATTTTCATTCTTTCTGGGGTGAGGTTGAATTTCTGGAGCTTTTTAATGTGATCCAATCCCATGTGCCATCTGTTGATTCTTGGTAGTTTTCTCTTACCATTGAGGTTCTCTTCAGAAAGTCCTTGCCTATGTCTTCCAGCCAGTTAACTGTTTCTGTTGGAATAGTTAAACCTTTGATCCATTTTGATTTTAACTCAATACAAATGAGATACATGGATATATATTTAATTTTCGGCATGTAGATACTTAATTTTTCTAGCACCATTTAATAAATAAGGAATTGTTTTTCTTCCAATCTATGTTTTTGCCCCCTTTGTCAAAAGTCAGATGCCTGAATGTGCCGGGGTCGCTTTTGCTTTTCCTGTTCCTTTGGGTCACACGTGTATTTTTACACTAGTGTCACACCGTTGCCTTTACCACTGCAGCACTACAGTACGGCGCCATTTTCTAGGATTGTGATGCCTCCTGCTTCGCTTTTACTACCCAGGATTTCTTTTACTATTCTGATCCTTTCTGAGACTGCCTGTCTTTGTTAAGCTCAAATGAATGTGCTAATTCATTTTATCAACCTTTATTTTTCATAATCATATAATATATAGACATGGAATAACACAAAACAGAAAAGGTAGATTAAATAACTACTCATAGGTTCAGCATACACAAAAATAACTCTCAACAGTTATCCAGGGCTTGTACTTCTAAACCTAGCTACATTGCCATATTTTTATAAAATGTCCTCTGCTTTATATGTTAATGTTAATGTTATTATTTTCTTTTTTCTTTCTTTCTTTCTTTCTTTTTTTCTTTCTTTCTTTCTTTCTTTCTTTTTTTGCAGTACCGGGGATTGAACTGAGATTATTTTCTTATTGTTATGCAATTTTTATGAACATGTTTAATGTCAAGTATTTCATTCTTTGTTTTCTTCATATCTTAACTATTTAGCTATTGGAAGTTATTTATATTTTTTTCTGTTTTCATTTTGTTATTAATAGTACTTTAATATTTTAACTATCATTTTAAACATATTTATTTTCTCTGGATAGATTCCAAAAAGTATTATTTCGAGTTCAGAAGTTATAGATATATTGAAGATTTTAATGAATACTTTTCTTCCTAAAGAATTGATTTGTGTCCAAAAAAAGAATTTATTTAAAAGTTTAAATATTATCGAACAGATAAAAATAAAGTCAAAGTCTTCCTTGTTGAACTTCTACCCTTTCTCAATATATTGCTTTTGTGTATGAGATTAAAAATTTTAAAGATATTGATATATATATAAATTTGTACTTATATGTTATAATGATATCACATGCATATATGACATATCAGTATGTATGTACAGTATATTCATATATAAACCTATCTTGATTTTATGTACATTAGAAATAATTTTATTAGAAACTCAGTTTTTTCACTTCACACTTTATCTTAGATGTCCTTTTGCCTCAGCAGACATTTTTATTTTTTATTTTTTACCTCACACATATTGTATTGTGTAGTATTTTACAAAAGTAAATTTGCTTTGAAATGTGTAACATTCTGTTCAAGAACTCATAGTTTTATTGTATGGGTGGTCATTTTCCCTAAAACAGCAAAATTTCTCAGAGTCAAGAAATGTAAAAGCACATTGCAAAGTAAGACATAAGTAGGTTAAACACAATGAAGAACATGGAAAATATTCTAAATAATATACAGGATTAATGCCACGAAGAACATAAGGATGAGTAGATTGTGTTAATGTTTTTAAATGTCAGTACTCAAGGAAATATACAATATATTTTCCAAACATTTTAAGTAATGGAATCAAAAGAACACATAATCCCTGGGCCAGCTGTGCAGGCCTCACCCCCGGGGTGTGTTGAAACAGTGATTGAGACTGGGCGTGGTGGCACGTGCCTGTAATCCCAGCTCTTGGGAGGCTGAAAGCAGGAAGATTATTATGAGTCCAATCTAATAGTGAGACCCTGAACATCCTGTAGACCCTTCCCTAAAGTACAAAGAAAAGAGAAGACATAAATATTTTCAAATACTTTTATATGAATAAGAATGTCTAAGAAAATTGTAGATATAGCAATGAAGGTCCTGAATGTATAGTTCACAGTATTCATTTGATGCCAAATAC